CTCTATATTTTGCTTTTCCCCAGATAATGTATTGAAGATAATTTTACATATAAGTACATCAAGTGCTTTCTTTTTTTCCATTGGATAAATTTTCCATTATATATTTTAGCAGACCCCCTATTGAGGTACTTATGATTGTTTCTCATTTTTATTATTGCAAAAATGCAGTAAATAACCTTGTACACACATTTTATACCAATGCAAATATAACTGGAGGAGAAATCCCTAGAAATGAAATGGGATCTAAGTCCATATATTTAAAATTTTTATAGTTATTGCACCATTTTCCTCAACGACTAAGTGCACTCCCACCAGCAATTTATGAGAATATTCTCCCTGGTTTGTTGACATAGCTCTTATCAATATTTTTGTATTTGCCAAAGGTGTTTCACTATATTTTTCATTAGTATTTCTCCAATTATGATATTAGCTATCCTTTATCAGTATAGAAGCCATGAATTAATTTTGATAGTCAGCTCTCCAGGTATAGAACAATTAAAACGACTTCAGATCACTCTATTTTCAGAATTTCCTAACCTGCTACCTTAATAGGTTCCATAAGTTAGAGAACTTTGTTCATTTTCTTTTATTCTGCACCATTTTCTAGAACCATCCCCAGCATTCATTGAATACCCCAGATATTTCACTTTAAAACTTGCACCTGGACTGGGAGTATCGTTCAGTGATAGAGTGCATACTTAGCATGTGTGAGATTCTGGGTTGAATCCTCAGCAAACAAACAAACAAATAACAACAACAACAACAACAACAAACAAAACTAGTATTCCCTAGGGAATACTACAGTGGCTGGCACAGTAGTAAAGGCTCTACAAAAGGTAGAAAGATTAGACAAAAATAAAACCAGACACGTTCACTCACTACTCTACATGGTCATGTAATCATCACGTAACTATTTCAATCTCTTTTGCCATGTCAATTTCAAAAGGAAAGATAAAACTGTCATGCTCTATACATGACAGTTTGACAGTTTAAGTGTCACCACGATCTATATGATCTATTGTTCCACGGGAATTATCTTGCTAAATTAACTTTAAAGTGCTACCTTTTATTATACAGAGAAATACACTGTTGTTTTCTCTTTTTAATATATAATTAACTTTTAAGATCACATTGTGTTTACTTTGTGCTTTCTTTGTCTTGTGCATGCGAGGCAAGAACTCTACCAACTGAGCTATAGCCCCAGCCCTACTTTGTGCTCTGTTGAGTATCTTGCAGGGGGTGGGGAGTGGAGAACATCTTTTTTTATTATTATTATTAGTTGTTCAAAACATTACAAAGCCCTTGACATATCATATTTCATACATTTGATTCAAGTGGGTTATGAACTCCCATTTTTACCCCGTATACATATTGCAGAATCACATCGGTTGCACATCCATGTTTTTACATACTGCCATGCTAGTGTCTGTTGTATTCTGCTGCCCTTCCTATCCTCTACTATCCCCCCTCCCCTCCCCTCCCCTCCCCTCCCCTCCCATCTTCTCTCTCTACCCCATCTACTGTAATTCATTTCTCCCCCTTGTATTATTTCCCCTTTCCCCTCACTTCCTCTTGTATGTAATTTTGTATAACCCTGAGGGTCTCCTTCCATTTCCATGCAATTTCCCTCTCTCTCCCTTTCCCTCCCCCTCTCGTCCCTGTTCAATGGTGATCCTCTTCTCATGCTCTTCCTCCCTATTCTGTTCTTAGTTGCTCTCCTTATACAATGTTCTCTACAGGACTTATTTATTTATTTTGATCTTTCTTCACTCTTTTGGCCAAGCTGAGGTTTTCTGAAGTGTGCTCTGGGCCATGGGGAAGAAAACAGATTTAACACTCAGAATCCATACTTCTTGGTTAAACCGTTATCTTTGGCTCATTAGCACCACACCCTGACTTCTTTGTCTGGTAAGGGATATTGGCAGTGACACCACATAAATAACTCCTTTTAAAAAGTAGTGATCCAAAGGCTGAAGGGGCCTTGATCATAATTATCTAGCTTTTATTTGTTTAAAACTTAATCTATTATAACTGTTCGACATCTACTAATACATTTAATCCTATTATCCCATTTTACAGATAAGAAACCAGAAGCAGAGTGAAATTAGGTAAGTCAAATGAGGGATCACAGCTAATAAGTGCTGGGTTCTGGTTGTCTTTGAGCCCGAGCAGTCTGGCTCCAGACACCACTGTCATAACTGCTTTGTTGTGCAATTTGTAAAAGATAAAACGTTTTCTCTCTTCTTTTAAGCGTACATTTTCTAAAGCAAGCCCCCCCACCTCCACCTCCGTGGAGCCCTCCGTGCTGTCAGCGGTCAGTGGCGACACCAAGTGGCAATCTTTGTATACTGCAGCCCGTTCATAATTTCTATAAACCACCTTGCTCCAAGCTTGTGTTCTCTTTCTCTCTCTCTCTCTCTCTCTCTCTCTCTCTCTCTCTCTCTCTCTCTCTCTCTCTCTCTCTCTCTCTCTCTCTCTCTCTCTCTCTCTCTCTCTCTTAAACTTATACCACAAATACCCTAAGTCAAGCCAATATATTCGGTCTGCAGAGGCATCTTGGAGCACTAATCTTTCAGAGACAAGTTTGCTTCCAACTGGATTGCTATTCTTCAACCAATTTTTTCCTTTATCTGAGGAAGAGGTGTTTTATTCTAGTGTTAGCTTGTATTCTGGACTTTCTTTTTTACCTCTCCAACTATAATTGCATTATTTATGCCTGTCTTTTCCTGCCTCTTCTATTTCACCAGGGCCTGTATCTACAAATAAACTCTTTTTTTTTCCTACCCTGCAATGATGGGGGTGGATAGTGGGATTGAGGGGGGAGAAGCATACAAACAAACCTCTCCTTAAACAATCACCCCAAATTCACCTTCTTAAAGAAGAGTTCCAGTAAAGGGATTGCCTTGCTGAAAAACCCCAGTTCTTGAGCTAGGGGTGTAGCTCAGGAATAGAGTGAGTGAGTGGCATGCACAAGGCCCTGGGTTCAATCTCCAAAATCAGAAATTTACACCCAACAAGACACCAACAAATAAAAGTGCTCAATTTTCTTCTCAGAAAATTCAGTCCAATTTCAGGATCCTTTGAAATCAGGTCCCAGTTTGCATTCTAGTTATAGCTCAGACAATTCTCTACAGTTCCCTACACAGCAGCTGTAAAGTGATAATATTTTTAAAATGCACTTTGTTTTCCTAAAGTTTCTCTAAAGTCTAAGTTTCTTTGGAAACTTTGCTGCTTGAAATCATATCCATAACAATAAATCATCCCACATTTGTCTGTAGGATACAAGTTTCTTTGACAAAGAGAAGTAGCCTTGATTTTCAACCCAGGTGCAGAGCTGCAGATAAGGGATATCTGGACATGACATTCCACATCTATCTTTACTTTGTAGTTCCCAAGGATACAGAAATCTGAGTTCACTTCACAACTCAGACCTGGTGGTGACACCATGTGACACAGTCCTTTGCTTTAAGTTTACCAAACAATGCTTTTTAAATTTTTTTTCAATGTCTTTTTATTTAGTGCTAGGTAAAGACAAAGTGACTTTCTTTCAGGGGCATGAAGGGGTGTGTTGGCCAAAATACATAAATTCTAACACACTATGACTAATTCACTCAAACACATTTTCTTTTTCTTTCTTTCTTTTTTTTTAAAGACAGAGAAAGAGAGAGAATTTTTTTAATGTTTATTTTTAGTTTTCGGTGGGCACAACATCTTTATTTTATTTTTATGTGGTGCTGAGGATCGAACCCAGTGCCCCGCACATGCCAGGTGAGAGTGTTACCACTTGAGCCACATCCCCAGCCCACTCAAACACATTTTCAAAGAAAAGTTTTCTTTTAAATTCACCTATTATCTATCCTTCCTCCAGTTCCTATAATGACCCTATGTTTTATTTTTGCTTGTTTGTTGAGATGACCATTTTTTTTTTTCTGGTGTGTGATATCCTCATTGCAATAGGTTAGATGTTTGGCTGTGTTGGGTTACAGATTTGTCTTTGGACTTTATGCTGATTGGGCTAAGATATAGGATTTGTATACTTAGGTTGTCCAAAGTAGGCATTCAAAATTGTTCACTGCAGTAGATGCTGAATTAGAGTACTTGGGTTCTACTTATATTATTTGGATTGATGATATTGGTTTCAATCTCAGTTCTTGCAGTACCTTTATTAGTGGGCTCATTTTAACTAAGTAAATGCACTCCATTTGGCCAAAGTTTTATTTTCTTTAAAACAGGGGAGGGGCTATTTCTTCAAACCCTAGAGCAAGAGCTTTGGAGTCAAATCTTTGTTGGAATGTGCCACTTATTATTTGTATAAGTTTTATTTTTCTGAGCCTTTGTTTGTAATGAGTAAAATGCAGAAAATACCAATAACTGCAACATAGATTTTCCAGTGTTACTATGAGGATCAACTTGGTTGCTGTAAGTATCACCATTGTTGAACATTATTCTTATTCCTACTATTATGTGAGGCTGGAAAATTTTCTTAACCTTCTGAGCTTCTGCATTCTTATGAATAAAAAATGGAGAAATAATGGTACATACTCCATGGGGTTATCATGTGCATTATTAAGTGAGATGAAAAAAAAGAGTAAAGGGCTTTGGACAGTGCCTGGCATATACGAGGCTCAAAATACATGATCTGATGTTATTAGTATTAGCTTTCTACTACTAACCACTCTGTGGGCCAGAAGTTCGTGATAAACAGTTTCATGCTAAGGACAGAACCAAAATCAAGGGACTGACAGGCTTGAAACGGTGAAACAGAATGGGCATTGGTTTCAAAAGCAACTAACACGCCCAGCACTGGGTTTGGACCCGCCCAGTCCTCATTAAATATGGCAGCGAGCCGGGCCGTCCTACTGCGGTTGCGCGTGTTGAAACTCCTCCCAGCAGCTCCTCCTAGGCTGCTGTGCCCCCTCCCTGCCCGGGCCGAGGTGCCGGGCTAGGGCCCTCCGTGGCGCGCACGCGCAGACGCCCGCTGGGCTGAGCTGATACTCTGGAGGCGCCTGTCACATGAGCCGCGCGCCAGCTCCGCTCCCCCTCCTCCCTGACTGGGCTGTGTGAATGAAGCTCTGCCGGCTACGTGGGGCGCTAGCTCAACTTAGTGTACTGGACGCCAGAGCCGCCTGAGCGCGCTGCCCACCGGCAGCGGACACAGACTCCGCAGCTCCTAACCTCGGCGACAGGTAAAGGCAAATGGGCTGTCCCTTCCCCAACAGGTCTTTAGTGGGCCCCTCGTCCCCGGCCCACCCTCGGAGCACCCTCTGATCATAGCGACACAGGGGAAGCGCTCCCCTGCTGGCTCAGTCCCCCGGAGACGGGGTTCCCCTTGTCCAGACGCCGCCCCCTGGCACTCCGAGGAGGTAGACAGGCTAGTTCTAGCTAGTGCGGGGCGGCATCTTCCCGGGAGCCCAACCCAGTTCTCCGAGAAGGGTCCCTGGGCTGCCCAAGCGAAGGTTCCTTACGGAGCGGCGCCAAGAGTGCCCTGCTTTCGCCTATGGTCCCCTTTCTAGGACTGGGATAGGGTGTCGTTTTCTGGGAAAGCTCAGTCGAGGCCCCTGTTCTCCCTCCGGCTCTGGACTTGCTTCAGGTTTGTGTGGGTCTTTGCGAAGTCGAGTTCATACTCTCCGAAAAGTAGTCGCTGCGCGTTTTCCTTTTGCCACTTGAACGCGTGTGGCTGGTTCTCGCTTGACTTTTTGAGCCTGGCGCTTGAGCGCCTTTGCCAGTAAGGGGTAAGAGAAAGCTTTTACCTTTACACTGATGCGCGTTTACCTTTATGACCATTTCAGAGCAAATCAGTTGCCCGGAGTTCCGAGTGAAGTTGTACGTGTGCCCGTGCGATAACGTCAGTGGAAACTGCCCCCCCCCCCATAAATGAGGGAAATACAGAAGTTGGAGCACTAAAAGCCAGTAAGAATCCGCTTTACATACACTTCAGACATTTATTAGCAGCTTTCTGGATTTAACTACAAATGCTAAATTTCTCCTTGTCCCAAGACGCGCACAATACTTCTTAACAATGAAATAAGAGAAGGAAAAAATGAAAAAATGAAAAGAAAAGGTAAACCAAAACAAACTGTTCCATGTTCCACATAAGTCTTTGGAGCTCCTTTTCCTGATGAATTCATCCTGGGACTTTCTAAAGTTCCTCGTTTCCTAGGACGTGGCGAAACTTTCCTTATCCAAGGCACTGTCTTTTCTCTCTTGGTGTTTTGGGGATGGGTGTACACATTAACCTTTTTGTCCTTTAAAGAAAAAAAGGTCATTAAAGACAGCTAACATGATTCTTTTAGTAGTAGCCTTCAGTGTTTGTACTTTAGCTTTTTCAATTCAGAAGTGGACGTTTTGGTTGTATAGAAATAGCAATCTACTTTGATGTTCAGTAGGTCAAAAAGGAGAGGGCTTTTTTTTTTTTTTTTTTTTTTTTTTGAGAAAAAGCAGATTGGCTTGTGTGCTAAGTAAGGAAGACCCAATTATTAAGTAAGAACTTAAATGGACAAGTAGAGTGTTTAATATATTAAACCACCAAATCAAATTATGTACAGTAGTCAGACCTCTCATTTTTTTGTCACATTCCTATTTCTTTTCATATTCTTGCAAACAGTATTACCTAAGACTAGATTTGAAGTTGTAATAGTAGGAATTAGCTAAATTAATTAGATTGTAATTAAACTAGCATTCTATTTTTGCATTTTCCTTTTTCTTTGATTAATTTCACCCTGTTATGAGCAATATGCATTCACTATAGGAAATTTGCAGAGTGGGGAAAATAAAATGGAGAGGAAGAACCACCACCCAAAGGGTATCATCATTCTTTACTTTTATTATACTTCCTTTCTTCTTCTTTTTCTTCCTATGTAAGACCTATTTTAAAACTTTAGCATATACAAAATTTGCTCTTCTTTCTACTGATCACTTACTGTAAAGTTGGGTATTTGGGGAGTTGAGGAGGGGGTTGGGTAGTAATGCTGCCTTTCATTCTACATGCAAGACTTTGCAATAGGAAAGATACAACAGTTATCTCATCCAACCACTCATCCTTTGAGATTCTGAACCCCGAGTACTAAAGCTCCAGTGATTCATGTAGAATTCAAAACTGAATGACAATATGAACTTACTCTAGATCTCTGATTTTCTTCAGCAATACCCTGATGCCCAAGGAATATGTGACACTACTGTGTCTGGTCTGCCTGTCTTTAAAAGAGAGATTCAGAGAGGGGCAGGAGATAATTTTCAATCATTTGAATTTTTTTTCTTTTTAAGTGTTTATTTTTTCTGTTTGCATTTTCAGATTTGGGGCTTTAGCATATTGCAGAAACGAGGACCACATAGCTGTTTATCTATCTCAGTGCCATTCAAGTTTCCCTACGAAACTGGGGGGCTCAGGGAAACTGAGCCTGTGACCCCAGTGTGAGAGAAGATACGATCAAGATGGCCATGTGGCAGGGTAAGAAATTAGCACTTATTCCTCTAACTGGTTGTTCTTTCTCCTCTATCTTCCACCCCCACTCAACTCTCCAAGTCAGTGGCAGGCAGCCAGCTATTTCTTTAATTTAACCCTTTGTCTTTACAAGGACAAAGCACATTAATTTAAAAGAAGCTGCTGCTAGCTCGAAGTTCAAATTATTTTCAAGTGGTAGTTGGGGGAAATTAGAAAAATGTCATGCCAGAAGCATTTGAAATAATTCTCTTCATTTAAACATGTGCTCATGGGGGTTATATGTGAGGAAATGAGAAAGATGTTTTCTTATTTGCGTGTCTCATTTGTTACCAGCAGATTTGTATCACAAGATTCTGAAAGATGGGGGACACAGATATTGGTACCTCTCTGGCTTCCCCTTTGCAATAAAGACCTTCTTGGGATTTAGGCAGTTTGAAAAAGCATGTTTAATGTTGTAATGTTTGTACTTGCTGATAGAAGAAAAATGCCTATTTTAACAATGTAAGCTACCAAGAACCAAGTTCAACAGTGTCTTAGCTGATAGATCACATCTCTTGTGAACTTGTGAATTTGTCTCACATGCGAAGTTATCTTATTTTTGATGGGGTTGAGGATTGTGTCCTTGGGGATTGTATTGGAATCTTCAGAGGTACATGGCATTCTTATGTTTATCACAAGGGAGTTTGTGTTTAAGAAACAATAGATAAATAACACCAAAATTGGTTGTGATCTACAAAAGGTTAAGGACCACTTAGATGGAGTAGAGTGAAGTAGCTTGAATATCTATAAATATTCAACAGATAGGTTTCTAAGTGGATTAACGTATCTTTTAAAGATATTTCATTGTGCTGGTTATGGTTTAAAATTCGTAGGCATGCAAATGTCACAGTTTTGATTTATATGGATTGTCAAAGATATTGTTGAAATGGGATTTGGCCTGAATGCTGGCATTGACTCACATAATGGGCATTCAGGAGCAGTTTGGGGGGCTGGGGTTGTGGCTCAGTGGTAAAGTGCTCGCCTAGCATGCACGAGGCACTGGGTTTGATTCTTAGCACCACATAAATGTAAAATAAAGATATTGTGTCCACCTAAAACTTAAATATTTTTTTAAAAAGAGCAGTTTGGATAAACTCACTTAAATCCCGAGACATTCCTTCATTCAACAAACAGAATACAAGAGATGGATAAGATGCAGAACCTTAGAGTGTTCCTTGTGGTTTAGGAAAGACAGACATGAACAAATAATTGTGTAATGTTGAACCAGTGTTACAATAGGGAGAGGAGCAAAATGTGATGGAAGCCCAGAGAAAAGCATGATGAATTTTGAATCTTGAACTACTCTAAAAATGAGTAGGTGTTGGCCAGATGGGCAAATGAGAGAATTGCATTCTGGCAGACAGAGCAGCACTGTTAGGAACTTTAAGTTGCTTTGTTTGCCTAGTATGAGATGTATAGGGGCATGACCTCAGACAAAGCAGGGAAGGTAGTTGGAGGAGGCCAGAAAATAAAGAACCTTGTATGTTCTAGGAAGGATTTTACACTTTATCCTGGAGACAAAGATTCCAAACAGGGAAGTAACATAAGCAGATTTTGTTTTAGAAAGATTACTTTGGCATTGGTGCTGAGGTGGGGTGGGAGCTGGAGATAATGAAAGCCTGGATTCATTCAGGAGGTTTCTGGAATAGTGATTTAGGAGAAAGATGGTGAGAGTCTGAGCAGAAGAATCAGGGGCAGTGAGATTAGAGAGAAGAGGATAATTTCTAGAATGTACTGTGACTGGATGTGACAAGATTGCCAGCCAGTTTGGGGGCTGGAGGCTAGTGGTGCCATTGAGAACAGGAGAAGTGGCAGAAGGACCCAGTTATGGTAGAAGCTAGAGTACTGAGCTTAGGTTTGACCTATCTGGGTTGAGGTACGTTTGGGCTGTCAGGTCACTGTTTCATAGATAGTTTTTAAATTATAGAACTGGAGATTGTGCAGGTAGGGCTATAAAATTTTGTTCCTAATGATGCATGAAGAGCTTGTGTTGTTTTTCCCTATGGCTAATGACATGTCTTTAGTTGTTAATGATTTATTTATTTTACAATAAAACATTTTAATGTTTGACAAACCTTAAAAAAGATCATATTTTCTTAATAAATAATACATCTTGCAAGGCCCTGAAATCTTCTCTTCTTAAAATTACATTGAAGTGAAACCTCATTTTTCAAGTATTAGTGAAGAGAGGAGCAGTACACATAAGTAAATTCTTTTGATCACTACAGCCAATCCCTTCTTTTGTACAACTTCTGAATTGAGAAGTATAGTGACATGATATTTTGGAAGGCAATATGGTCTAATAGTTACCTGTGTGGGTCTGGAGTCAACTCTTTAGTTTCTATCACTTGGTAGTTGTGAGGCTATGGGCAAGTCACTTAACCCCTCTGTGTTTAAGTTTCCCCTTTTATGAAAATTGGGTAAAAATAGAACTCACCTTATAGTGTTGTAAAGATGAATTAAGCTAATACATGCAAAACACTTGGAACATGGTAAGTGCCATATAAATGTGTGCGTTTATTATAACCATAAAATGCTTGTTTGGTGTATAATGATGTTCAGAATATTGTTTAGTGTATAATAGTGCTCAGTAAAATGTAGTGATAGCTATTACTACTACAAATACTGCTATCACTATTATTTTCCTTTACCCTGATTGGGTTTGGGATTCTGTTCTATGGAGATAATTTCAGTTTGTCCTTGGAATCCCTGAGAGTCTCAGAGAATATCTAGCTTAATTTAGAGATTAAGCAACATGCCTAAGGTTAGATAGATACTAGTTCTTCTTAGTGACAACACTAAAACCCAGATTTCCTGTTTCCCTATCCCAGTATTCTTTCTATGGAAATGTGTCAAACTCAACAAAGCTTCTGAGTCAGTCTCTGAGGAGCTATTTGAGAAAATGTAAGAGGTAGAGAAACCCAAATCTCCTTGGTTTCTTGGATCATTGCTGTCTAATTCCTCCATGGAGAATTTAATCAGAAACCCTGTACCCCTTAAACACTGTCAATAGTATTATTTTGATTTCACTTTGATCTTTCCAAGTTGCCAAGACTGGCCTTGAACTCTAATACATGTTCTGTCCACATTAAACAGAAGGTTTTTGACAACTTATGGTGAGCCTTAATAACATCAGTTGTGCTTTGTCATTTTTTATTGAATCCTGGGCCTTGTATATGGTAGGCAAATGCTTTATCATTGAGATACATTCCCTAGTCCCTTTTAAAAATGTTTTCTTTTGAGATAAGGGTCTTGCTAAGTTGTTGAGGCTGGCCTCAAACTTGGGATCCTCCTGCCACAGCCTCCTGAGTAGCTGGGATTATAGGTGTGTGCCACTGTGCCCAGCATAATATCAGTTTTATTGGTCTAATGGTCAAAAAAATATTGAAGGGCTAGGGTTGTGGCTCAGTGGTAGAGTGCACACCTAGCATGTCGTGTGAGGTGCTGGGTTCGATCCTCAGCACCACATAAAAATAAATAAATAAAATAAAAGGTATTGTGTCCAACTACAACTAAAAAATATTTTTTAAAAGAGAAAATATTGAAGAGGAGACTACCCACTTTGAGGTTGGAGACTTACATTGTCAGGTGTTATTTATTTATTCAGTTAACATTTATTGAACTTGAGTTGTGTGCTGGGCCCTAGAGATGCAATGGTCAAGGTAAACAGGCATGGTTTCTGCTCTCCTGGAACTTACTGACTACTAGGATAAAAGTAACATTTCAAATTAATGAAATTATTTATTTAACAAACATGCTGAAATAATTTGGAAAAAATAGCACCTACTTAAATTTAGAAGGATTAATATTATTTTGGGGGGTACTGGTAATTGAACCTAGGGGTGCTTTACCACTCAACTATATCTCCAGTCCTTTTTATTTTTTATTCTGAAACAGGATCTTGCCAAGTTGCCAAGACTGGCCTTGAACTTTAGTCCTCCTGCCTCAGTCTCTCAAGTCCCTGGTATTATAGGTGTGCACCACTGTACTCAGCTAAAATAGTTTTTCTTTATAAAGGAGGAGGGCATCAGAATTTCTTATGGTCCTTTAAAAATATTCTTGCTCAGGTCTCATGCCCCTCAAATTATGCTTCAGTCTTAGGACCTGAACATTTAAAGAAGCCCTGTGAGCAATCCTGATGCGTAAACCTGTTTGGAACTGCTGCATTAAATAAATAAAAGTTTTTAAAAAAGAGAGTAATGATAAAGGAACTAAAAAAATTAGAGGAGACTGTATAATCTTGGTGTAGGGAGGATATTTGTGTGCATAATATCAAAGGCAGAATAATAAAGAAAAAGATTAATATCATCAATTATATGAAAATTAAAAACTTCTGCACAAGCCATAAATAAAGTTAATGAGAAAATTAGGAATAATTGCAACAAGACTTATTATCCTTAATACATAAACACTTAGCAATAAGAAAAATAGGAGGGTTTTACTAGAAAAAAGTACAATGGATGGGGAAAATGTGCAAAGGAATATATATAAAAGGAGAAATCCTAATGACCAGTAAACATGAAAAAGGTACTATCTCAGGTGTAGTCAAAGAAAGGGAAATTAGAATGGGAGGCAATTTTCTCTGATATAATTTGCAAAGATTAAAATGGAATGACTGAACTCAGTGTTGGCAAGAACTTGAGTGAGCAACCGTTTTAAAACACTTCTAGTGGAAATGTCAATTTGGCAATATTTATCAAAAACTTTAAAAAAATGGGTTTACCACAGGATAATGGATGGGACTTGAGATCATTATGTTAAGTGAAATAAACCAAACTCAGAAGTGTCAAGGGCTCATGTGTTTTCTCTCATATGTGGAAGCTAGGGAGGAAAAAGGAAAAAAAGGTGTGTGGGGGATCCCATGAAAATAAAGGGGCATCAATAGAGGAAAGGACTAGGAGGTGGGAGGCGGGGAGGGAGTGGAGGAGCAGGAGAGGGATATTGACCAAATTGTTACATTGTGTGCA